TGCTCCATGGTTTTATAGAAGAGTAGGCAGCTAGCCGCAGAACCAGCCACTGAAATTCTGGAGCAATTTCTCAAATCGTCCTAATGATAAAAGTCAAAAGAGCTGAAGAAGAGCCCTGTGGGATTGGACTAAGGGTCCATCATAGTCCAACATCTTACTGCAATTGGCCTGCTGGATGAAGGGAAACCCAGGTAAGCTAAAAAGCTCTATGTGTCTTTGTCTTTCTTTGTGTGTAAGATGCTCCAGTCTTGAACTGTGAGAGCATGAGCTACCTTTTTCTGTATCTTTTCCTATGCTATTATCTGGACTATTTTATGGATGGTGTATTAGATGTGCCTTTGATCTGATCCAGCAGAAGCCTCCTTAAGGCCTTATACCCCTACCAAAAAGGCCCTGCTTCTCATGGATGTCTACCCTACATTAACCAGGAGGCGGGACAGAGTAGAGTATGGATAAATTGCTCGACAGGGAACATACACTTGCAGCTTTGAGCATACATTTTAGATATTCCTCAGATCACAGCCTTGGCATGGATTAAAACACATCATATCTATTTGGCAAATCCCTTAGTAGAATCTGTAGCAGCCTATCTAGATTGGAATAGGAGTTGCTTTTCTTAGTTTAAGCTTCAGGCTTGAGCCTTTGGTTTTTCTGCAGGAATATTTGCTATCAGACTTACTAAATTCTGCATGGGCATATCTATCAGTACCACATTGGTGGGGAGGGGAGTCTCCAGGTGCACAGAAACTAGCATGTTCTGTATAGCAATCCTTCTCTATGAGTGCTCTTAATCCTTAAGCTAACTTGAACCTTTGGGTTTCAAATCTGTTGCAAAAGACAGATATTGGTTGTGCTTGAGACTGCCCCAGAAGAGGAGTTCCTGATCAACATGGCTCAATAAACATAACTCTCTGTATCCCTCTTTTTTATCTATTTAACTCTATCCCCTTTCCTGTATTTGGTGCCATCCTGTTTTTCATTTTTACAGCACAGCCTTCAACTGTTTTAATAGTCATACTTGCTCTCCAGGAAAATTAGAGAATTGCACATTCATCATCTAACAATTCCCAGGATTCTTTGATGGAAACCATGACAGTGAATCTGCTATAAAAGCCAATATAAATTGATAGTGCAGTTGTGCCCAATGACTTGGTCACTTAGGTCTCATATAACCCAAGAATGTTCAAATCAAATTTCACAGAACAGGGAGAGACTTGATGAAATACGTTCCCTTGTTTGTCTCCCAAACCACTTTCTGCTCAAGATAAGGTACTATATGTGGGATAAGAACAGCACTGGGCTTTTAAATGCAACCATCTCACAAGCAGTAATCAAATCACATAAGTTTTCATTTTATAAAAATCAGAAGGAAGAAAAATTGCAGTGTACTGCTTGCCCACTTGAAAGCTTCTCGTCGCATAGGAAATTCAATCTGGTGCCTGTAGCTCTTAGTGCTCTTTGCTCAATTGTCAACACTACAAGAAACATCCCAGAGCATTAGCCCTCCCGAATCTAGTCCATGAGAAACTTTTGCATTTAATTTACACTTCCAGGCAACTCGGTTCCAGACTTGCTGTGGTTTGGAATCTTCACATGTGTAGCTTTGTAGCTTTACACTTTTCAGAATGAACGATAGAACTGGCAGACAGAGAAGAATAGAAAACAATGCCAAGTTTTGCTATGAAGTTCCTGGCACTAGCTGCTGTTCTTCAGAGCCTGCCTGGCTTTTGTTGCTGACAAGCCTACTGTATATTTTCTGCTCTCGAAAGCTACTAAAAACATCTTCCAAGTGGATGAGAGAATGGACCGTTTTTGTTTCAAAGAAAGCAAAAGATGTTAAAGGGCACCATGCTCCCATTAGAAAGCAATTATAGGGGAAAGTTGTGGGGTTGGTGGGGGGAAGGTAGATTGAAAACAAATGGAACAACAAGTGGAAATTATTCCGGTGATGGGAAGCTTATTTAGCACTATGTTGTATACAACCAATGTGTTTATTGCTTAATTCATGATCTGTAAGAACAATGGTGATGCTCAGCTTCAGCTAATAGGTATGGGGAAGATCTTCTGTAATATTTTGTTATGGGAATAGGACTGGCCAGTGTTCTAGAAAAGAACACAGTGCTGCCATTTTCTTGAGAAACTAGCAATAGGTCTGCCACTCTGACTGCAAAAGGGGGGGGTGTCAGCTGGCTGGCCAGGAACAAGCACTGAAAATAATTCCTTTTGATTACTGATTCATCAGGAAAAGAGTTGATTGAAAATCCTACAGCAAAACAGCTGATGCCTGTCATAGCAACAATAATGGCAGACCATAGGATGACTGTAATCAAGCTTGTACAACACAAGTGCTTTTCATGTTTACAATGAATGACTGCCAAATATTTCTCTCACTCTGTGGTATAAAAGTGTTCTTCATCTTCTGATAAATACCAGACCCACCTACCACAAGCAACCCTTAGGCTGTTCCTGTACAGTGGTACCTTGGGTTACAGACGCTTCAGGTTACACACTCCGCTAACCCAGACATAGTGCCTCAGGTTAATAACTTTGCTTCAGGATGAGAACAGAAATCGTGTGGCGGCGGCGCGGTGGCAGCAGGAGGCCCCATTAGCTAAGGTGGTCCCTCAGGTTAATAACAGTTTCAGGTTAGGAACGGACCTCCAGAACGAATTAAGTTCTTAACCTGAGGTACCACTGTATAGCTTCTGTTTGTGGCATTCCAGCATGCAAGGAGAGTTTTTGAGGTACTTACACCTTGAAAAGGGCAAATGATATCAGTGATAGCACTCTGGGATGGCTCTGAACTGCAGAACAGGACTGCCCTTTTTCTGCACTGCAACAGGGCCAAAATCACAAGATAATTGTAAGTCCACATGATGTCACTGATGCCCCACCTACCACCAAGAGGCCCCATTGTAGCAACAGTCTGCTTTCATTCAAGATAGTGAGGACCACAGTTATCACATACTGTGGGAGGATTTTTTTTATATATTGTAAATGCTTTTCAGAAATATTAATTTACTGCCTCAGTACTTCCATTATCTTCCAAACATTATCTCTTTGCTTTACTATTTGAATACCAATTGTCATTCATGTTAGAGAATTTTCATTTTTATAAAAGAGTTTTTGTCACAGTTCTTCCTTTACACTGAGAATAAAGCCAGAACAAGAGGCAACCACTGGATTTGCATGCTATATATCTATATAACCATAATGCAGGGCAAAATGCTGTAATATTTGCATTGGTAAACTAGTGTGGTAAACTAGTGTGTCATAGAATCATAGAACTGTGGGGCTAGAAGGGACCCCATGGGTCATCTAGTCCAATCTCTTATAATGCAGGAATCTCAACTAAAGCATTTGTGACAGATGGCCATCCAACCTCTGCTTTAAAAACTCCAGTGCGGGACAGCTAAGTAATGGTCTTTGCAGCTAAACAGAATTAATGCAGAATTTTTTTTAAGAAAAAGAATCCTCCTGAAAATTCTTCAGAATTTTAGTGCAAATTTATCCTAATAAACATATTTTAATGCAGTTTTGACTAATGTACACAGTCAGTTTCTCCTGTGCACATTTCCCCCTAACATACAGATTTTTGTAAGCATTGTTTGGTCGGAGAACTGCATTACAAAACTCAGATTTGTTACAGGCAGATTTTGATGGACGGTTGTGTTTTGCTTCTCTCATTGTTTCAGAAAGGGCACATTTGAAAGCTTCAGCCTTAAATGCAAACAGAATCACATCCCAACTGCGGAGTAATAGGTGTTCTATCAATAGCTTTTAAAAAAATAATAAGAAGAGGGGTCAGGGGAGAGAATCTGAGAGTCCAATATAAAGAGCAAGCCTAGGTTGCCAAAACATTTTTCTCTTGGTTGGCTGTTTTTCAATACAGGAGCTATATTAAAGCATTTTGCTTTCTTTAGGCAGCAGTTGCTGCAAAATACTTGTTTTTAAGCCTTTAATCATTTTGAATGATCTCACAGAGAACAGGCTTCAAAAATGGCTCGGTTCGGACTGTTATGCCTTATATGCCACAAGGTAATTAATGTAATGACCTAGCCTCATAAATCCTTTTATCATGATTTGCCCACTCTGCTTGTTATGGCCACGTTCCAATGTACTTTTGAAGTCACTAGGTCTGCAGTGTGCTGTTCTCACCTAGAGACTGTGCTCAGAGGCCCTGAGCCAGAGATGCATGGATACAACAGCAACAGCAGCAGCAGACTGCATAACCACAGCTGGCGTGAAGTGTATCTATTGTTGCCTGGCCATCAAATGATCAAATCTGATAGCTCTGATCAGCTATTGGGTCAGAGATGGGGAACCGCTGGTTCAGGAAGCAAATGTGGCCCTCTATATGTCTTTGCCTAGCCCTCAGAAGTCTCCCCAGGTCACACACCTCTTCAGAACAGCTTTTCTCTCATCTTGAATAATTTGTGTACATTCTTTAACCATGGTTAGTAGCCACTGTCAGCCTTGTTGTTGTTGTTGTTTAGTCATTTAGTCATGTCCGACTCTTCGTGACCCCATGGACCAGAGCACGCCAGGCACTCCTGTCTTCCTCTGCCTCCTGCAGTTTGGTCAAACTCATGCTGGTAGCTTCAAGAATACTGTCCAACCATCTCGTACTCTGTCGTCCCCTTCTCCTTGTGCCCTCCATCTTTCCCAACATCAGGGTCTTTTCTCGTCTCATGAGGTGGCTAAAGTATTGGAGCCTCAGCTTCAGGATCTGTCCTTCCAGTGAGCACTCAGGGCTGATTTCCTTCAGAATGGATAGGTTTGATCTTCTTGCAGTCCATGGGACTCTCAAGAGTCTCCTCCAGCACCATAATTCAAAAGCATCAATTCTTCGGTGATCACTGGCAGCCTTACCCTCCCCAAATTTGTGTAATCGTCTTTGTTACATGTTACCAATATCAAGTTAAGAGAATCGTAGAATTGTAAAGATGGAAGGAACCATGAGGGTTATCTAGTCCAACCCCCTGCAATGCAGACGTTTCTTGCCCAATGTGGACCTCGAACCCACAGCCCTGAGATTAAGTGTCTCATGCTCTGCTGACTGAGCTATCGATGGATAATAACTAATTTCTTTCTCCCTCTATCTCTTTGGCTTATTTGTTCTCCCAGATCCAAGTACAGTATTATATAATCTCCACTTACATTCCTTTCCATTGAATTCCCCAGATCAGAATTTTGATTGCAACAGTTGATCTGACCTTTTTTAAAACATGAGACATTTATTGCAGCATGTTATAGTGCTGACAGCAGAAAATGGAACTTAAACTTTGCTTTTTAAAAAATTATCTCCCACAAGAAACTACCCCCTGCACAGTCTGATCTACTATTAAATGTAATTTATACATGAAACTATTCAAGTGTCTGATGTTCGTAAGAAATATTATCCTTGATGCTTAAAAATCTGTAGGTCAATTGTAGTGAGACCTCACAGATGCCAGTCTTTTCTGTCTGACTTAAAATGCCAACGCAAATCATGTAATAATTACAATAAAATTCTTCTTGACACACTAAGCTGGATTTTCAAGCTTTCAATTTTTATTTTATTCTAAAATGAACTTCAACCAAATCTTTAAAATGGATGGCCATTCTTGAGCTGATACGCTTGCAAACTCAAAGTTAGAATTTGGTAAGGAAGGTGAGGAACCCTCCAGAGGAATTTGATGTGTTTTAACAAAAATATTTTTATAGCCCTTGGAATTCCTCAAATTTTCATCTAAACAGAACCGCCAAATCCACCTCTGGTACCAATTACCTTCTGGGTGATCGCCTCACAGAATTGTTTTCATTTGGGCACCTCAGAGGGAGAGAAAGGATGTTGTGCTGTGTGAAATTGCACTGCCAAGAAATATATCCTCAATGAGTATTGTTCTCTCATACAAGATGATTTCTCTGCCTTATCATCTGTTGCAGCAGAGATTTGGATTTAGTTAAACCTGTTGTGTGATTGAATCTTTCTAGAACAGGAACAGGGAATTTGTGGCCCTCCAGACGTTGTTGAAATCCAAGTCCCATCTAGAATGGTCAGGGATAAAGGAAGTTGTAGTCCAAAAACATCTAGACTGCTCCATCCCTTTTCTAGAAATGCTGGCCAAGGTGGCAGAGTTCAGGATCAGATATGCGCTTCAGAGATTTGTAAAGATCGTATCAAAGAAGGGGAGAGCTTTACAAACCCTCAAATTATTATTTGGCTCAGATTAAAATCATTGATAAATCTGTGAATTTCATTTTCTCTGTTTCTTCTTTTTCCGCTCTGAAGTTCAGTTCACTGCATCTTCACATTGGTTTGTGAATTATTATTATTTTAATCCTGAGGATTCATAAGCATTTTAGTGCAAATTTCTCCTAACACTCTCCCCCCTCCCATTTTCACTAATATGTACATTTCCAGTCACACTCTAGTTGTTGTTTTTTTACGTATTACTTGGCTAGAAAACTGCGCTGCAAAATTCAGATTAAGTATGCATTTCAAAGGATTGCTGTTGTTTTGGAGATTACAGTGGTACCTCTGGTTAAGAACTTAGTTTGTTCCAGAGGTCCGTTCTTAACCCGAAACTGTTCTTAACCTGAGGTACCACTTTAGCTAATGGGGTCTTGCGCCGCCAGCACACTATTTCGGTTCTCATCTTGAGGTAAAGTTCTCAACCCGAGGTACTACTTCCAAGTTAGCAGAGTCTATAACCCAAAGTGTTTGTAACCCGAGGTACCACTGTACACATTACATATGGCCACCTCTTAAATACAAATTGAATCAAATTTCTTACCTATCACTCTTCTTAGTTTACCACCACCCTCCCTGCTACTCCACTAAAAAGCTCTCCCTACTAACCAGCCACTCCCTGAACTGTCTCCCTCTTCATCATGAATACTTACTGGCCAGCAGCAATGGTGGGAAGGGAAAGGGAAAGACCTATCTGTCTGCTCGCTCACTCGCTCTCTTTTTGCCCTTCCTCATTTCCAATCCAAACTGATGTGAGTGGCAACAGGAAGGAAATTTTTCCATCTCTAATTCTGATACTATCTTCCCCTCCCACCCCCATATTTGAGGCTGTTGACATAACAATTGGCATTTATTTTCAGATTTGCTTTCTGTTACCTAACTAAAAAGTTAAGCTGGCATCCAATTAATGTGCCCTGTTAGTTGCAAGGGCTTTCCTATTGCATACTGTTACTTTCCAACCCCACATCCTCCCCAAATCTGCTTGGGGTGTGAGTGTGTTGAAGGATCCCCCAAAAGAGATTTAAAGAGTGTGTGGGGAGAGGGGGGAGTCCCGTTGTGCAAATGGAATTCTTGTGCAGGAGAATAGCTTATTTAGCACTATGTTGGATACAACCAGTGATTTATATTGTGTAATTCATGATCTTTAAGAATTATAACACAGAACACTGGGGATGCTCAGCTTCAGCTAATAGGCATATTACCATTACAATGGAATTTGCAGTTACATTCAGTTTGCAAGCTGCATTTTGCTGCATTATCTTGAATTGTTTGAAGCACATTGTATCTTTGTTTTGGCGTACTTCAAGATAAGGAGGGTTGTGGGGTACATGTTCATATATCCTTCTCCAGGCTTCTTTCAGTCACTGAAAGTTAGATTATAATTGGAGCGGAGGAAGATCCTATGCAAACAAACAGCTTCATCTTATGCATCTATTTGTCTTGACATAGAGGCTTCGAATAAGCCTATTTTCACCATTATGAAACAGCAAGGATGCTTCAGGAAACACACTAGTTTACATTCAAGGGAAATAGCAGGAGGAAAAACAGTTATTTGGAAAATGGACCAAATTTATTTCCGAGAGCTTGCCTCCAAAACAAGGGCCCCTTCTGTAACTTTCAGTCATTATGCCCGCTGCTTCGGACATTTTCTTGCTGAATAAATGGAGATTTTCAAGCAGCTATATCCTTAGTTAAATATCATTTGATTATCCACTCGAATTAAACAGAGTATCTCCAACTGAAGGCACACACAACTGCCATGGCAGTAACAGCAGCTGTAAATTTCAGCCTGGGGCAATTTAGGACTAAGAATTGCCTGGCTTGATCAGGTCTAGCATTCTGCCTGTAGAATTGCAGTGGGGAACTTCTGGTCGTGGCTCTCAGAACTCTTCTCAGGTCCCATTCTTCTATGGTCCTGCTTGGCTATCTCCTCAAGAGCTTTTTTGTGACTGGAATTATTTGGGTTTTTAAAAAATTCATAAGAGACAAACTGAAACTGACATTCACCTTACTCCAGGGTGCCCCTGTAATTTATAAGACAGTTGTCTACGTTTGGTGGATGTTGGAGAGAGACTAGAAGTGTGTTTAGCTACTTCTTCTTCCTTTTAACTCTTTTGAGTTTTAAGTGCCAGCTGAAAACACTGCTCTTTGCTCAGGCATTTGCTAGGCATTAATGCCTAAGCCTTTGTTGTTGTTGTTTAGTCGTTTAGTCGTGTCCGACTCTTCGTGACCCCATGGACCAGAGCACGCCAGGAACTCCTGTCTTCCACTGCCTCCCGCAGTTTGGTCAGACTCAGCTTTGTAGCTTCGAGAACACTGTCCAACCATCTCGTCCTCTGTCATCCCCTTCGCCTTGTGCCCTCAATCTTTCCCAACATCAGGGTCTTTTCCAGGGAGTCTTCTCTTCTCATGAGGTGGCCAAAGTATTGGAGCCTCAACTTCACGATCTGTCCTTCCAGTGAGCACTCAGGGCTGATCTCCTTAAGAATGGATAGGTTTGATCTTCTTGCAGTCCATGGGACTCTCAAGAGTCTCCTCCAGCACCATAATTCAAAAGCATCAATTCTTCGGCGATCAGCCTTCTTTATGGTCCAGCTCTCACTTCCATACATCACTACTGGGAAAAGTATGGCTTTAACTATACGGATCTTTGTTGGCAATGCCTAAGCCTTACTGCTAATTATTATGGATTGACATGTTTTTATTTTATTAGATGTACAGTAATTAAACTTTTATGCGCACTGTTCTGAGATTGCTGCTGCAATGAAGAGTAATGACTATTTTAAATTAAAGAAAATAAATAAAAGATCGAATCAAGATAGGATCCACCTCTCACATTAATGGGAACATTATAAAGAGCGCCATTCATGACCATTTCAATAATCCTGCTTGGTCAGAGTAGGAATATTAAGTGCTATTTTGTTTATCTTGCAGCTTCCTTTCTTGTGAAGCCCCTGCAGAGGAACAGAATCCCAGAATTCTAAAAGGCTTTAAAAGAGGGAAATAGTGATTTTGGAAGACATGGTATGAAGAACATATATTGGAATCCTGATTAGTCCTTCACAGGGGAATGCTAAGCTTTTGAGTGATAAGTGTGCTGAATTCTGATATGGAGGTAAAATTGCTGGAATTATATGCAGAAAGGCTGGTTCAGCTGAAGTCACATTCTGCAAATAATGGTTGCTTTATCTGTTGTGTGTGTTGAACTAGTGTCAGATCTCATCAAAGGCCAGGCTCCAGGACCAAGTGGAGGTGGCTGTCCATCTAAGTGGACCAGAAGCAGGTGTGTGGTCCAAAACTGGCAAGTTCCAAAGCATCAAACAAGCATCAGAGGGGCAGGAGGTGAATGTGAAGTCAAAGCCAGGCAAGATCCTGATCCAAGGCAACCATCACAAAAAGGGAGAAGGAACATAGGTTGTCCCCTTGCACCGAGTACAAGTTGCTTGGACTAAGGTGCAAGCTTTGGGGCTGTAGATTTATGGTGGACAGGTATTGATCCCTAGGATCAGCTGACAATGCTCAGCCAAGCTGGTACTGCAGTCTAGATCCAAGTTGTGGAATGTGTGGCCCTCCAGATGCTGGCAATTCTGGTTGGGGCTTATGGCAGCCACAGTTTCCCCATCTATGGTCCGGATGATATCCGCCCAAACTGCAAACTTTGGCCTGTCAGGCTTGTAGTGAAACCAGAGCTCTAGTAGCACAGGAAGCAACATACCAACACCTGATTAATGGAAGTCCCATTTCACACACACACACACACACACACACACACACACACACACCAGCACTACTTCAAACTACTTACAGTTTCATGTTTGTTTTCACAGCTACCATTTCCAG